GTGTTAACTTTTAAAAATAACTTTCAAAAGGCCAAAAGATTACTGTAAAACACATAAGGAGGAACTGCATTGCCCATTCAACTAAACCATCCTATTTGTTCAAAAAAGTAAATCCTACGCCAAGGTAAAAAAACTAAGCTTATTGACAGGTGGGATATTTTCTAAATCCTCTTGGGTTTCACCATTAGGTCTGAAGATGGCTTGTCTCACCTTTCAACAAAATCTTTATACAAGCAGGCTTCTCTATCTTTTTAACATCACAGTTAAGTGGTTCACCTTTCATCCTGAATGAAATAGGAGGACATTCCAATCTGGCCATCTGATCAGATTTTTTAAATATTGCTTCTAGACAATTTGAAAAAGCAAAATATACTGACCTTGTCTAGCTGTAAAAACAGCAGGATTCACACGAAGAATTCCTTCTAACAATGGAGGTGCATTTCTCAGAAGAATGGAAGAATCTGTCCCAGCATACTGCTCCTTTAGTTCTCTGAAAGAATTTTGATTGTTAAAATTATACCTGAATGATACGTAATATGAAAAGAAAAAATATCCAAAAAATCAAATACACCAACTTTGCAATATACAATAAATTACTGACACTAATCAAACTTCAAAATGAAAGAAATTTAACCATCTAATGATAAATAACATTCAATCATTTCATATGGGCATGATTATGAGACTTGTATATGCCATGACAGTTGAGGTTACATGGGGTTTTAAGGCTATGACCATACAAGTTCTGTGCCTAGAGCCTTGCAAATATGATCTACACCCTTAATTTATGATTAGGTTGTCCAATACCAATGGCAAGGGGAGAAATTCAATCCCAATCTCCCAATTTTATCTTGTGCATCAAACCCTGATACTGCTCCTATGGTTTCTTCATTTCGTGGAATTCCTAACTTACATGTGGTCTGCATGTGTCAATGCCAGAGAATTTGCCAGCTGCTCAACTAGAGCTGGATCCTGGCAGGAAAGAAGACGCTGTGCCTCCTCGGCAACTAGAGAATTGGTCTG